ACCTGGTATTTATCATCTTCTCTTCTCATATGTGGTTTACCACTCTGCTGTATTGAAACATTTTTCTTTGGTTTTTCATGAAACCAACTGACACTTTCTGTTGTTCGAGGGGAAAGACTTCTTCATTGGGGCTGCCTTCACAGACTATGATTTTGAAAGGCATTAATTGTACAATTTAAATTATTATAACACATTTTGTTAAATTTGATTAATTTATAATGGGGTGTAGATATAGATGTTAAATTATCAAGAATTTAGTCAAACTTCAGTTGACTTAAATACAGTCATTACATCGGTAGTTTCTCAGTAATTAAGATGAAATGTCAACGAAATTATCTAGTTTGATCAGAATTAGGAAGTTTGTACATGCTGGTTGGTACAATATGTACAGCTTCAACAAAATTGCAATGATTGTCAGGATTAGTTTTTTTCATTATATATGTAAATATTTTTCTCAGGAATTACTGACAATTTTAAAGAATATTTCAAAATAAGATTTTGGTAAAAACCCTTTTGATTTGTATTGCTGTACAACATTTGAAACTTTTGACTTAAAAGTTAGGTCATTTTGTTAGCCCAGTTTGATTTAACAGTTGACTTCCTTTTAAGAAGCCGATCAAATAGATAATCAACACTACTGGTTTCCTTTATCTTACAACAGTGATGGTTATTTTCATTTGGAAATTGACTGCAAAAAGTGTAACCTGCAGCTGGATGAAGTCTAAATCGTATGAAAACAGTACTGATTCTAAACATTAAATGGGGCCACTCGGGACTTTGTTAGAGAAAACTGACATTGAACCCCATTTTTTTATTTATGTACTTAAAGATGATGATATGCAGACCTGTCTCTACCAGCTTGATTTTAGGCTTCTTTATTTTTAAACAGCTGTCACATTTTTCACAGGGTTCTGTCAATTTTGTACTGTGACCCAGTAACCCAGAGGACAGCTACTGTAGAGTTGTGTATGTTTATCTTTAGCAGCGAGTTACCCAACTATTCACTGAATCTTGAGTGAATGAACTGCAGTACAGCTAAAGCCAAGTTGCTTTACATCGCCTTGGTATTATCTCCAGTGCTAGCATCATGCAGACTTTTTGACTTCAGGTGTAAACTTTACGTGGTGGGAAGTATATATCTGACATTTATATAGTACAGCTGAACTTGTTAACTAATATTTTTAGTAAACTTATGGGGAAACAAGAATGAAAAGTTCATCAGCAGCAGTACTGACCCTTAGCTAGTGCTAATCTAATGGCAAAAAACAGTGTGGTTGTTCCCTTGCAGTTTACAACAGATATAGGTCAGAGGCTTTTAAGATTTGAATGTGGCAGCCTCCCCCTGAAATATAGGCCGCAGGGCCACAATTAATGTTTTCTGTTTGCTGCATTATTTTCTTTTACATTCTCTTTTTAATCTGTTTAATGTCAAGGTAGCGGGCAATTCACATGTTTTCTTTCTCTTCTCCAAGGTTACACGCTGTGTTTTGGTACACCCTGTATAAACATACCTTGCCGAGAATAAGAACTTTAGTTAATTTTAGTCTAAGGTTTCAGTTGGCTCAAAACATTAAGAAATCATTCAACATGGTCATCAAACAAAACATTACCTAGGATACGGAGATGGTGAATGACCTTAACATTGTAATATTTTGGAAACTGGCTTTGAATTCCTTGAATACATAGTCTAGTGCATGGTTAGATGTTGCCTGATGATGCCTCCCTGTTTATAAACCAAAGGTGCTCTTTTATTAAAATTTTAGTTGGATTTGTATATAGACAGTATCCCTTCAAGCAACATCTGTTCCTGTTTCACCTGTACTGTTCATTTCTTCATAGCATTCAGCCCTTCACTCTGAATTACTTGTTTGCATTGTGAATATCTTAATGACTCATGTCAAATTATATGACAGTTCTAGATCAGACTAAAGGCTATTAAAATGATTTCCATTTTTATAACAAGTAGCTCGACAAGCATTAGTTTTAGCCTTAGAAAGGCCTGGGGAGGAGCCCACCTCCCTACAGCATAGCAGGTTGAGTCTTAAACATGAATAAAATTAAACTTTAGTGAAGGAACGCCTTGACATGCCACCAGTGGAATCCAGGGCACAGTCCACATCTGTGGCTGCTTCCTGTTTTTTTTTTCTCCCCAGTGCTCTTGGAGCCATTGAAGATTAAATGAAGCCATTTTAGTTTATGTACACTCCTCAGCTTATAAATGCTTGCTGTGCTCTGTCTGCACAGTAGTTTTGCAGTTTGATATGTTTTTCCTTCTTTATTTACTTGGTTTTATCTACTTCCTGTGGTTTGCTATGTAGTGCTGTCCTGTGCTGCTTTTACCTATATTTTGCTCACTGATATAACTGTTTACCTCCATTAATTGAAGAAAGTAAGTCACTTTAAAGTCACTGGTTGTGACTAGTTGTCAACATCTTGTTTTTAACCTATAAGTTTTTCTATGGAGAGAAATCAACAAATATGCAGACTAGACCACTTCAGTGATTTTGACCAATTTGACCTTAAAAATATAAGTGATTTACAAAGCAACAGATTAAAGTCATTCAGGATTTAGCGTATATAATTGTCTGCACCTACTGTAGATTGCTTTGGAAAAACAGTTCTTCTATAAAGATCCGGCAAATATTCATTTTAACAGTCACCATTATGACTTCCGAAGGGTCACTGTGATGGTTTCTAACACAAAAAAAATTCTGATCATGTACTAAACGATCATTATCTCAGCATAGTAATTTGTTTTTGTTGTACCTTCTTTTGTAATGGTCCTTTAGTCTCACAGTTCAAATTGTTTAATTTTTTTGTTGCATTGTCAAAAAAGCTTTTTTCTGCACACACTTGCTGTTTTAAAAATGCAAAGTGGTATTATAGCAGCAGCATTATCCAATTTAATACTTACAAAAGCATGTATGTAGACACTTAAAGTAGATTTATCAGTGTTGCGAATTTATTGATGTAATGTCAAGAATTAGCTTCTTTTGTAAGTAGCACAGAAGAGCTGTTTATGCACTGGGTGAGTTAGGCCTTGCTACCATAGGCAAAGGTGGGACTAATTCCAAATTGTAATCCAAGCCTTTCAGAATAGCAAATAAAGTAGACTCCCTCTGGCTGTCAAACCAGAGATTTTCACATTTATCAGGTGGTTCCTATTAAGAACAAATTGATCTCTCACAGTTTTTTCATGGTAAAATGTTAAAACCATTTAAAGTCTGCAACTTAGCAATAAAAAAATCTCAATAGCTTAACCTATTGGACCATGGATGTTTTTATGGGGCAAAGGATTAAGGTGAAACTGTTTAAAAACTTGAAACTTTCTTTTAAAGCAATTTGGAACAACCTTATTTTTCCCATGTTATCTTCCTTTTCTGAAAACGCATTATTCTATCTGCCACTTTGAGCTGCCCATTATACCTACTGTACATGTAAGTCAGGAGGCCTAACGATATGTGCGTGTCCTCAAATATCCATATGTTCACTGGATTTAGCTATTTATCCTGTCAGCCAGTCATGGTATTATGCTGACCTGTTTAAACCAAGAACATTCTGGTTAGGTGTTATGTGCTTGTTCAGTATTAATGCCAAGATTACTTTTGTTTCTTTCTTTTTCATGCCAGAAGTACACCGATTATGCACATTTAGGCACTCCCTTTTGAACTTCAGTCAAGATCAGCATCTTCATGTGCACCTAGTCATTTTATCTGCAGGGCAAGGTGCTTCTTGTACCCAGAACAGCAGGGTCAGTACAGTAAAGAATAATAAAGTGAAGAAAAAAAGTCTTTTCCTCATAAAAACGTATGCCATCTTTTGCAGCCTTATTTTTAAAGACATTTTTTAAGCTACAAAATGTTACCTCTATTCAAGATTATATGTGTACCTTATTGAAACGTATAGTTTTAAAGAACTGTGATGGTTTTTCACTTGAGTATTTTGTGGTTTTCCCACTCTGTATTTGACTTTTTGCTTGGTTAATCAGTAGTGACTCTTGAGTAACTGTACCTTGTGGCTAAACTGCTGTGATCTGAAGTCTTCTTAAATAGTCTTATTACTGGTGTTCATATGGACCAGTTTTTCAAAAATGTTGTCCCATCCGCAAACTGTATTTGAGACAGTTTATAAAAGGTTAATTTTAATTTCTTTGGTTTTTCAGAATACCAACTACAAAGGTTCTTAGTGTGCTGGGACAAATCAGTCCATGTAGTTAGACCCACCCTGTAAAGGCAGGAGTGTTCAGTAATTTATAGTGAATCTCTGAAAGACTTGAGAATGTAACATTACATATGGAATTTTATTGCAATGTGTCCAATGTGTATAATCAGTTCTTTAGAGCAATTCTTTAACTAATGCCATTGTGTGTATTTGCTATAGATCTATAGATGAGTTTAGCAGTAATATAGACACGACTATGATTTCTAAGAGAAATGTATAAATATTTTGACAGCACTGAAAATCTGTGATTCTTCAATAAGATAACTAATTTTACCTGTTAATGCAAGAAACGACATTACACTTTGTGAGGAGCTAGGCCACCGTGTAATTTGAGATGGAAAGGTAGAGGTTAATTCCACGTTAATAAACATTGCAGCAATCAAGTCTGCAGGTCTCTACAAGTTAATACCAGCTTTTTAGCATGGAATTAACCTCTCCTTTTTTATGCTTCACCATACTTCTCTGTACAGCTAAATACTTGTGTCCACCCTAAAGGAGCATTTTTGTTAGTTGTACTTCTGTTTAAATACAAAATTTGCTGGTATGTCAAATGAAGCAATTCAAGATTTCAGTTTTCTTGTCTAACAAGTCCTGACTAAATGACTAAAGTCAAAGCATTATTGACAGATATTGTAAACACTATTTTATCATTGTCAAGCAAACTTTGCCCTCAACAGTTCGGCAAGCTTCATGACTGGAGCTTTTCATACAATGAAAAAGGCACACGATTACCGATCAACGCAATTGAAAAAAACCTTTTCACTTTTTACTAAAAACGATAGCTGAACATTTTTTCAGTCCCCCTTTTATTAAAAATTGACTGTGGCTTCTCAGAAAACATACAAAAATAAATAAATAAAGGACATTTTCATTTAGTTGCTCATTGAGTTTAAATAGTCATACTCTGGAAATGGTGTATGAATTACTAATAGACCTAGTAAATTAAATACATTCTTACAGTACCTCCATTTCCAGACGTGTAATCCATTTTAGGTTTATCTGTTCAACTTCCTAAGTAGCATTTTTTTAAATGAAATGCATTCCATAGGTGGTAAACCTTTGCCATTAAGAAACATTCCTTTTCAGATGGTCCAGTTTTAATCACCATGGTCTGGAAATGAAAGTGTGTTTCCCATACTCCTCAGTTCAGTTCGGCAGCCTGTATTTACCCAACTCAGCCTCTTTCTGGAACCTCAAACACTAGATTCATTCTGAAAGACTTTGGCCTTCAAAGTCCGCAGGCTCTGTTGGATGTAGCTCTCTGACTGCAAGGCTTCAGAGAACTTGTTGTCATAAGACCTGCTGTATTCAGATTTGCGCTTTATAGAGTTCTGGATGGTTTCAGAGGTGAAGTAGTACACGATGGGGTCAAAGCAGCAGTTGGAAACAGCAATACAGAGAGCAATGGGATAGATGGTCCTCACCACCGTCTCTATGGAGCAGCCTTTCAAGATCTGAGTCCTCATTAGTGCATAGAAGACCAAGTTGACATTGTAAGGGATGAAGCAGAAGCAGAAAATGAAAAGGTGCACCACAATCATGCGAAGGATCTTTGTTTTATTGAGCTTGCCCCTGTTCAAGGTCCGAGGCCTGCGGAGTATCTGGAGGACCATGGCTGAGCAGACCACATTGAGAATGAGAGGAATGAGAAAGCCCACGGTTTCAATGAAGATGACCACCTTGGAGAGGTGCACCTTCCACTGTTTGTTCGAGAAGTTCTCGAAGCAAAACGTCTGTGTCTGGTTGTGGTTTGGGTCTGTGGGGTGCAGCAGGAACCCCGAGGGCAGGCTCCCAGCCAGGACCAGCACCCAGACAGCAACACATACGATTTTGGCATTGCGTTTGGTGCGCAACATCCTTGAGCGAAATGGGTACACAATGGCTAGGAATCGGTCCACACTAATGCATGTGAGGAAGAGGATGCTGCCATACATGTTGGTGTAGAATAGGGAGACGGAAAGATTACAGAGGAATGAGCCAAACGGCCAGTTCTGGGTGATGAAGTAAAAGATGCGGAAAGGCAGCGTCAGAACGAATAGAAGGTCCGAGACCACCAGGTTCATCATGTAAGTGGTGGTCTCATTCCGCAGCTTCAGGGTGCAGTAAAAGATGTACATGGCTGCCATGTTGGAGATGAGCCCCATGATGAAAACAATGCTGAACACCCAGGTGTACAGAGTATACTTGAAGTTGTCATACTTTGTACAGTTTGAGCTGTTTGAACTGCCTTCTGTTGCTGTCATGATGTCTGCGATTGACTGATTCATTTGGATCTTTGTCTTAGCGTAGTATCCCTCAGCCTTAAATCCAGTGTGAATTGAAACGTATGAAAAAACTAGCAGCAAGGGACTCAGCATGAATCCCCAGTCTTCTCAGACGGCCTTTTCTGAAGTCAATATATAGGCAGATCAAATACTGTTAAGAAGAAATGTTACATATCAAATGCACTGTTTTCCCAATTGGGCCAATAATTATGAATCCTGCAGAAGGTTCCGTTCAGCTGGAGGAGCATTGCTTTGCAGCTTACAGGTTGTGCTGCAGTGCCTTCTCCCCTCCCCCCCGTCCAAAGCCCCCTGCCAGATCAAGCTACAAGACAGAAGCCCAAAGGTTTCTTGCGTTTTCTTTTTTCTTGATCCAGAAAAAAAAGCTTTAACTTAAAGACAGTACCTGTATCCACACAGGGATGAGAATTGCTTTCTTCCTCCTGTAGTGAAGAAAAACCCTTTTTTGTATTCCTTTTAAAATTTGTGTAGGCAAACTTTTTTGTTTGTTTAAGTGTTCACAAAAGTGTTGACTCCTTTTAGGGTGTGTGGAGATCTTTAGCTTCTCTGCTGTAAAGTTCAGCAAGCATGCGAGGCAGTTCCAAGAAGTTTTTTTTTTTAACTTCAAAACAGGTCCAGGTCTGTATCCAGTGGTTTGAGGCAGTTACAGTGAGCGCTCACCCAGAGCTGCTGTTGTAAAGTCTGGGTTTGCTTGCTCAATAGGTTTTCTTTTCTCTAAAGCAAGCAGACTGAGTCATTGTGTTGCTCTCCCATTAGGAGGCAAACGAATGAAGGATTATTTCATTGGGGATGTGACATCACAGGAAAAGTGTCAAGGGAATTGGAGGAGTGGAGTTAGCAAACCCCGCCCACTTTTGTTTGCACTGTGATAATGTGTGCTAGGTGGGGGAAAAAAAGCCTCAGGCCCTTTGTTTACCAAAGCTGTCCCTGCCCACTAAAGGTGCAGATGTTTTCATCAGATGCATTGTGTTTCAGGAGTGTTTTTAAGATCACCTGCAGTCCTGGAGGCACAAAGATTAAGATTCTTTAAACGCCCTTCATCAAGAGTGAGATCTTGGTTTAACCCTCTATTGCTTTTCTGTTTTTTTTTTTAACTTTTATGTGTAAAACAGCTGTTGCTGCTTATATTAATACAAGCAATACAACTACATAAAACTATGGCAATTAAGTTTTTCAGTGCTTTATAATGCTACAGTACAAAGAGAAGCGAAGTGCTGAAAAAAATGAATAGTCCCACCCATGTTTTTTGTTTTCATTTTTTATTTTATTTTTTTTAGTGGAGGAAATGTATTAAGACTGGGAAAGCTTTATTTTCTATTTAGAACTTTCATTTGTTTTCATACAGCATGTTGCTTGTCTGAAACTAAGTTTAAGATAATTTATTCTTCGATTACTGTATCAGCGTGCAAGCTGCAGAGGAACAAGGAGGGTTTAATTTAAAGAAATTAATGTTTTGGTGGTGGAGTTGTCTTCACGTCATTTTGAATTTACTCTTTTTTTAATTTAAGCAGTTTTTATGGTTCCAATCAGGAACGTAAATCCCTCTGACCAAAAGTTTCTTGAATTCTCAAGTAGTTAATAGTAAGCTGTTTAACAAAAGCAGCTTGTTTTGTGCTTTGCAGAAATAATAAGCCCTAATAATTTGAGCTGATTGTGTTCTCTGCAGCTGTACAAAGGATGGACAGTGGGTCAGCAATTTGTGCTGTGCTTTTATTTAAAACCTTAGTTTACGTTTTCGTGTAAGGAAATACTAGGGACTACGAAGCATGACTTCCCTACCCTGAGCCTCACAGATCACACAGTAAGGGGCTGAGCTAAGCTCCTGCTTTCTCCTCAGCGCACTGGACTACCTGCAGTACCTTCCCACATTAAAGACCCCGAATAGTCTGAAAAAGCAAGATATTTTCATAATTGTTTTGCTAGAGATTTCAGAAATGATAGGTGGATACATGGAAGTACTGTATAGGTGTATAATTTTACAGTTTCACCCTCAGTTAATAAGGTAAAAAACAAAGTACAGCTAACAGATAACGCGTACAGGCTTTAGATGAATTGAACCTGTAATTTGTATAATAAGTTGGATGTCTTTTTCCTCATTTGAACAAGACCTGACAAGAGTGACAACAGCCTTTTGGCAGGAAAGCCACTCTTTCCCGTTGTTAAATGAACAAAGACATTTCCCAAAGCTTTTTGCATATTTCAGTTTTATATGTAAATTTGTATGTAACGATTTATTGAGTAGAAAAAAACAACACTCATGTAAGGCACAGTAAAATGTTAAAAACAGGGTTACCACTGACAGAGCTTCAATTACTTTTGAAACAGGTTCATTTTACAAAATAAATGATCGAGGTTTGAAGCTTTTGTGTAGAATGGTTGTCTTGGTGTTTTTGGTTTTATATTGTTAAATTTCCTCGGTATTTATCATTATTATTATTGGTTCTCTTCTTTTTTTGTTGGTTCTCTTGTAATTGTACTTAACCTAAAATTACAGAAACAGCTTGTAACACTTGTCTCACAGTTGTTAACTTGGCAGTCATGCTTGTGAGGCATTTCAGACTTGTTCTTAGGAAAATAGGGGTGGGGTATTGGTTGAGAAACCATACCTTGATTTAAATTCAAATCCTCGCCAAGTATCTGGAGACACCTCAGGCATTTGACCATTTTTTTTGTTCTACAGTGAACTGCTTTAATTGACAGGTCATCTATTACCTTTCCTGATCCATACAACTATTCCTCACAAGTGGTAATGTTTTTATGACTTGAATCTGAGGTGTGGTTTATCTCCAGACAGTATAAACCCCCTGTGGATAGCTGGGGATGAAAGTTTGAAGTTTGAAGAGTTTCTTATATTTCCAGTGATAGAAGGTTTGTCATGGGCTGTAATGAAACAGGTCTTAGAATTTGAGGAATTTTAATGTCAACGTAAACATCTGTCTTTACTCTTGGGGAATATCTCTCTTTTGCCCAGCTTTGTTAATCTCGTAGTCTGGTACGGGAAGTCGCTGTGAACTTTTCCTTTTGGTTAGCATTACAATTACAGTGAAAAAAGTGAACTTTTTGAATAGTTATTCTTTCACTGTAGTAACAAAAAGAATTTTACCTTCTAGAGGTGAAGACCCAACAGAATGACATGGTCAGTGTTAGCATTGATCAAGTAAGTAAAGAACATATTTGATTTTTTTTAGAGGGTAGGGAGTCAGAGGTCAACTTGAGTTTATTTGAATCTGGGGATTGTTTTTTTAAAAAGGCCATTATGTTTAAATGCACAGGAAAGTGTGTACACCAGATTTGAGAACTAATGTAGGAGGGAACACAAGATCTTCTAGATATTGCAAGTCTGTGGCATAATGAGTCATTTGAGTTGCAACATTGTAAAGTGCTTTGGGTTTTTAGAGGAAAACCGTCATAAATGCTAAAATACATTTTTCAAAACTGAGGAACACTTGAAACATAGGTTTGCTGTTCTGTAGGGGCAGTTTGTGACAACAGCAAGCTTGATTTGTCTTTAGAAAAAGTCTGCATTGTCTGCTTTCAAGCAGACAGGCCACAAAAGTCATTTTGTGGTGCGTGGTGCCATACAACTGGATGGATACTGTTTTTTAAGGCACAGGCAGGAACTGAAAACAAGTTGAATGGAAAATTCCCTTTGTTCAGTAACTGATTGACATCATAAGCATTAGTAGGACTCGTAACCAGGTGAATTAAGCCTCTGGGTTTCTTACATTTCACACATTGCATGACTGAATTCTTGATTTGTATATCTCCAATGAAAAAGTAGTTCATTTTGCATAATATATTTTGTAATCTTTCAAAATTAAGGTGTCAAACAGCTGGTGTATGTAGTTTTATTTAGACTTTTAATTGGTTTTGTATTTCCTTCCTCTAAAATGAATTATAGATGGACCTCAACAATGAAATTTTGGATTTCCATGTGTATAAATCAGGTAGCAACAACTTTGTGTTTACAGGGTAATCTCTACAGTGAGTGATGACCTTTATTATAGCAGTTGCTTCATTTAAACCAATCTAATGATGCATTATAGAGCAACTCATTAGTGAGAGAATTTAAGTTTCATCATAAGATTTTGGCTGTAACTACTAGTATCCAAACCTTTGATTACATATGTGAGGTATCAGGTTTGATTGATCAGGATCATTGTGAAAATACAAACAAGTTGAGGGAAGCATCAATTACATGGAAGACCAAACATATTGGCGAGAGAAGTTTTCTTCATATTGAAATTGAAAGCTAGTTTCTTTTCAGCTGAGCAATTAATGTTTGTGACATTCCATTTACAGTAAAATAAACTAGCTTTTCTCACAGGAGGAACTCATGGAATCTGACTGGCAGGTGGTCAGGAGTGTCATTCTGATGACGGAACATCTGACTCACTTTTTAATTATTCATTCTGAAAGTTGTTTTAATCATATCAGTTTAAAAGATGTACATTTCTTTACTACTGTAGTTAAGGCTAATCAACATAACTTACGTATGTCATATCAATTAAATCTAATATCAGTGCACCATCTGCAAAAAAGTCCTTTTAATGAATTTTTAAGTTTTTAATTAATTAAAGTCTAATTTTAAATCATAGAAAACATGCTATAAAAGTTTTTTTTTCCATGAGATTTAGTTCTTTATTTATATAGGAACATTGTACTAGAGAGAACCTTTTAATGTCTTTAAAGTTCAGGCACATTATTCATGTGCAGTCACTGTTAAGTAATGATGTAGGTATTGCATATTAGTATCCTGACTGACCAAACTATTACAAGAATCCAGAAACGCAAGTTACCTCTTACAGTAACTGGCAATGTGTGGTTGACTTTTGAAGCACACGGTATTACCCACTTAAAAGTAGATTAGGATTAGGCTGCTATGTTTCAAAACATTGTCGAATACACACAAAAACCTGATCGAGCTCTGAAGATCCCGTGCGATTTTGTTTGTTGAATGTTCCTAATATTTTGGCTCGTTAGTATGTGTGTTTCAAGGACCATTTCACCTATAGTATAAATTTTATAGCAGGATTTAGAGCGTAGTTCTGTGTAGTTGAGTAGGATTGGGCTGCTGTATATTCTGCAGTGTTTTGAAATACATGCAAAGTCCTGATCAAGCTCTAATAAGGCTGTGGGCAAATATTCACTTTTTGACCTGTTATTTTCCTTCTCTGTGAATGCATATTCTCTAAACATTAAATAGTAGCCAAACCAGTATAAATGTTGGTGAAGCCATTGTAAATACAGGTGACATGTTGGTACATGTTGGGTTCCATGTGGATCATCACTATTTTATCTTGAGTCCTGAAATCATAGATATGCAATTTACTATTCATCTTATTCTTTCTTGATGAATTCATAATTAAAAGTTTGGGATTACCTAAATTTGAATGAAAGAAGTAACCTTTGAGTGACAGGTTTTCCAGTGAGAAACTCTTAAACCTGATGCTTCTAAAAGTTTTTTTTAAAGTGTGGCTACATTAGTTTCAGTGCTAAACCAGTTCAGTAACAAGTGGTAAAAACAGGAAAAAGTATTAAATAAGTTCCCCTCCTTTCATTTACATTACATCACCTGCTAAACGTAATACATTATACCACAAACTTTTTATTTTTTAACTTCTTTTCTTTTTTTGAACATCCTAACATCCAAGTGGACTCAAGCATAACAGATGCTGTTGAATATGTTTATATAACTAAGCCAGAGTGTTTTACGTTGGTTTTTCCCTTATGTCTTCATATGTCTAAAGCTTTTTTCCAAGATGGC